TTCATTATGAGCTTGGTTATATGCGGGTTGTCTTCTGTCTCCGGTAACCACGTCGAACACGTTATTCGCGACAAGTATCGCATTTAGTTGATATTTCGAAATCTGATAGTTTTTGCCCTCGAGTTTGGACACGCTTTGTATTAAAAAATCTTCCGACATGGTTGTAACCGCCTATCGACACTCAAGAACAATGCTTTACAGACTAATTAAGCGGTAAACAAACAGATTTGTTTTGAAAGCACATAGATTCGCTTAGGCACGCTTCGACTTAGTTATAGATTCGGGCACGTAAGTGCATGATACATTTTTGTGGAGTTTTAAAATAAAAAACCAATTCGTCTCGTTTAGTCCCCTGAAAAGGGGTGGTTTTTCGAATTAGTTTTACAAAAAGAATATAGGACCCCCGAGTCACCGATTTCATTGAGACTTTGAGCACTGCTAGATCTTGCTACCTCATTTAAAAATATATACCATTATAGTGTTAAATACTCAATATTTTTCGAGATATTTATAATTAAAAAGCTTCGATATTCCTGGAAAAGAAATTGATTGGACGCCAATAACCAAGAGTTGGCGTGGCTCAAGTGCTGATCGAACGGATCAGAGTTCGATTTCCCGTACATCTAATTTTTTTTTTAATTCTTTTTTTCTTCTTTTCTGTATTTGTATTGTGGGATCGGGAAGGTAATGACTCCGCTCTGTTCCGTTCCGCACAATTTTATTGTTACTGTCGTACAACGACGTGACTCGTGGTGCGGGTTACGCTCGACTCTCCGGTACGATCATCGCCACCGTACCAAGAGGCCTTCGAAAACAAAAGACGGTCAGAGGCGACGACAACGGCTTTTCGGCTCGCGCGCCTCTGGTCGTCTCGTGTGCAACCATACATTGTAGCGGCTTCGAACGACTAAGGCGTATGTGGTGCCTTGGCCGCCACACTACCCCCCTGCCAGTAATTGGCACAATTACGAAAAATTGAACGACTACATTACCACTACCATTTACTCTATTATATAAAATACGTTATCCTAACTAAGATTTACATTACAGTATTTGAACAGAGTTGAAAAAAAAAGGAATTTACATGGAGTTTAATATATAATGCGTAATGCCTAAAAATACATGAAAGTACGTAAAAGTGATGGATAAAAATAAATGGTATATGATACTTATTATAATAATGCGCAAGCCTTAAGTACTACCGCGTAATTTGAAATCGCTCGGGGAAACGTACGCGTCTACCTGAACGCGTAACACGTTGCTGTATAACCGGCGCATTGTCAGGTACGTTTGTTTGTGTGACCGGCTGATTTTCTATGCTCACGGGATCCGGTCTGTTTTCTGCTAGCATATAAGCAGGCTTTAGCCTTTCAATTGATATATTTATTTCCTTACCTCTAATGTTTATTGCAAATGTTTTTTCGCCTCGGCGCACTACGGCGTATGGACCTTCATAAGCGGGTTGTAAAATAGTTTTGGCTGAATCTGTTCGGATGAAAACATGTGTTGAACTGCTAAGATCTTTGAAAACGAATGTACGATTAACGGAATGGCGTGATGCATTAGAGGGACTCAATTTAGAAAAATGGTTGCGTAGTCTATTAGTAAAATCGGAAGCATTTTCTGTGCCTTCCGCTGAATGCGAAGACAAGAACTCTCCCGGTAATCTTAATGGCTCGCCATAAACTAATTCCGCTGAGGTAGCGCCGAGGTCTTCTTTCCAGGCGGAACGAATACCGAGTAGAACCGTCGGAAGTATTTCTGTCCACTTGTCGGATCCGTGGCACCTTATAGCCGACTTGAGCTGTCGGTGAAAACGCTCTACCATCCCATTGGCCGCTGGGTGATACGCCGTTGTGCGAAGGCGTGTGGATCCAATTAAATTGTTCAGCGCAAAAAATAATTTGGATTCGAACTGCCTACCCTGATCGGTGGTAATCCGTACGGGAGCACCAAACCGCGCTACCCAACCGTCATAAAAGGTTCGAGCTACGGTTTGGGCCTCCTGATCGACCATGGGGAAGGCTTCCGGCCACCGCGTATATCTGTCTACACAGGTCAGACAATACCTGAAACCTTCGGACACCGGTAAAATTACTATGTCTAAATGAATGTGTTCGAATCGCGCAGAAGGTTTAACAAATGTAGCCAATGGTGCAGTCACATGACGGGAAATTTTTGATCTTTGGCACGGTATACAGCAACGTGTCCACGTGCGAACATCTCTTTTAATCGACGGCCAAACATAACGTTGCGTTATGAGCTTGATCGTCGCGTTAATACCTGGATGTGATAATACATGTAACATATTAAAAACTGCACGTCGGAAAGGAGGGGTGACATAAGGTCTTACATTCTTAGTCGAAATATCGCAAAAAATTTCGGAAGACGTGCCAGGCAACGAGACTTTGCGTAATTGCAGGCTAGATTCGCTATTCAACAACCGCTGCAACTCCTCATCCTGGGCTTGCGATTTTGCCAATTCTTCGAAATTAATCGAGTGGTTAACCGTTTCCACTCTGGACAGTGCATCGGCAACGACGTTGTCTTTACCGGAAATATGTTGAATATCTGTAGAGAATTGCGCAATGTAATCTAGGTATCGGAATTGTCGAGGAGAGCATTTATCTAATTTCTGTTTGAAAGCGAAAGTTATGGGTTTATGGTCTGTAAAAATCGTGAAATGTCTGCCTTCGAGCATATGTTTGAAATGTTTTATTGCTAAATAGATAGAAAGTAGTTCCCGGTCGTAAGCTGAATACTTCTTTTCGGCAGATCCTAATTTTTTTAGAAAAGAATGCTAATGGTTGTCGTTCGTTGCCGACGCACTGATGTAAAACAACTCCTACGGTGTAATCAGAAGCATCGCAGGTAACCGACAACGGAGCGTTGACCGCAGGATGAGAAAGTCTTGCCCTTTAAATTGCCGGCTAGAAGGTCGTTCAAGGGTGTTTGAAAGCGAGCGGCATCTGGGATAAAACGGCGGTAAAAATTAAGCATTCCCAAGTACTGCCTCAAATCCTTCGCGTTTTTCGGAAGGGGAAATGACTTTATGGCTTGTACCTTGCCGGGCAAAGGTTGAGTGCCGCTTTCATTTACCCGATAGCCTAGAAATTTAACTTCTTCCTTTCCGAACGTGCATTTATTCGGATTAACAACAATGCCGTACTCTTTTAATCGTTTAAATAATAATTCTAAATGGCGCAGGTGATCGGCTTGGGATTCTGAGGCGACCAAAATGTCGTCTATATACGCGTAACAAAAATCGAAACCGCGTAAAATTTCGTCGATAAAGCGCTGAAATGTTTGCGCGGCATTTCGTAACCCGAACGACATGTACGGGAATTCAAAAAGCCCGAACGGCGTTGTAATGGCCGCTTTTCCGACGTCTTCCGACGCAACCGGAATCTGATTATAAGCTCGGACGAGATCTATTGTGGAAAATACCTTTTTGCCAATCAGTTGTTGCGCAAAATCTTCAATGTGACGCACGGGGTATCGGTCGGGAATTGCCCGTGCGTTTAACGCTCTATAGTCACCGCAAGGCCTCCAAGCTTCTTCGCCCTTCTTCGGAACCATATGAAGGGGTGATGACCACGCGCTCTTCGAAGGACAAACGATGCCCATCTTCACCATCGCGTCGAACTCCTTCTGGGCAGCCCTGAGCCGGTCCGGACCTACCCACTAAAAACCCCACGGTGACCCTTCCGCACGATTTGGGAGGATACCGGGAATCGCTCGAAGCATACTTCCGGTATCCTCCCCGTGCCCGCGCTTTGCGCCCACCCGCGGGGGGACAAACGGTCCCCCCGGTAATCGCCCTGTCTCATAGCGGCAGGACGAGGCCACATCGTCCTGCCGCCATCCGTCCCGGGGCCGCGTCTAGTGGCGGCTGCGAGCCCCAACTCGCAACCGCCGCGACCCCGTTTCTACCCCTCGGAGGCCGGCAGCTCATGGCCGCACCAGGCCACCGAGGGTGCCGCTCCGTGCGCCGGACCCGGACAGGAGGCACTGCCACCCCATCCGGTCCGACCCTACGCCGCCTGGCGGGAGGGGGCTCCTATCAGGACCCCCCTCCCAGCCTGGGTCATGCGCCACGCCGAGGGGGCCGCCCGCGTCGCCTGACGCCCAGGCGACGCTCTCTCGCCACCAAACGAGCGCGAGCCTCAGCGCGCCGCTGACGCTCGCGCTCCCTTCCCGCGGTCTCCTTCTGCAACATTACGATTTCGCAGAAGGAGGCCACGGCCCTCCACTTCTCCTCGCTGCCGAGCATGGCGCGTACCATGCCCGGCAGCGAGACATCCCGCCCGATGACGCCGACCAGGACACGGCGCTCCCCCTCCCACGCAGTGCATACCTCGAGGGTATGTTCCGCCGTGTCCTGCTCAGCGTCACAATGGCAGCAACGCGCCGTCGGCTCCTTCCCTATCCGGCACAGGTATCTCCCGAAGCTGCCATGCCCCCGAGAACACCTGTGCCATCATGTAAGTGAGGCTTCCGTGGCCTCTGTCCAGCCACTCACATAGGAGCCCTATGCGAGTATAGTGCCTTGGCCGCCACAGTATATACAAAATATTTTAATTTAAAATTTAAAAAATGTATGTATTTCAATTAACAATAAATACAAATATTTTTAATACAATAACAAGGGTAACAGTGGTCAGAATTTCAATGAAATCGGTGACCCAAAGGTCCTGTATTATCCTTGTTATTTTTAACAGATTTAACAATATTAATCAAGAATTATACTAGTATAGATTATAATGGATAATTTTGAATATAACATTAATTAAATAAGTAAAATATGTTACACTTATAAAAGTGAGTGGATACTTTTGTGAGTAACTGTAATATAAACTTTTATCAATCGGTTACGAATATTTTAAGTATCAATTACCAAATAGACTTTATTGCACGACAAATATTTTGAAGCGTGCGTATAATTGATATATAAATAGAATTTGTTCAGCCATTTATTAATAAGATATTCCTTCCATCAGTTTCAGCACTGAAAATGAACACTGGAATAAGAGAACTGAATTTAGCCGACAACGGGCTTAATTTCTACGACGCGATACAGCTTGGTTCTCTTCTTAGGTTTAATAACCATATACAACTTCTTGATATTAGGTCAGTATTAAAGAGGAATGACTCGATGAGTATACATGGTGTTACGTTTAAGTGCGAATGGTGGAATATCTCATTGGGTATTGAAGGTAACAAAAAAGTGTTCTTACAAAAGTTGTTGTATTTAAAGACGCAAATTATGTGGTATAAATAATTTTTGTATAGGTGGAATGGTGAAGGAGATTTCAAGGTCAAGCTAATTTTTTTAAATGCAACCATATATTTTTTTGTTCATAATATGATAGCATTTCTTCAGACAAATTCAACGACCTACTACATGATATCATTACGAATTAGATCAACAGAAATTACTAGCCGAATCCTACGTAAGTACTACAGCGAGTGACGCACCGAATGTTTCCACTTCGATTCTATCGTATAAACAAATCGAGCTCTTTATCTCCACTTAGGCCTCTTATACTTTCGACTTCGAATACATAGTCACTTTAAAAAGTACCTTTAGAGAGTTAACAAGTCAAAAGAAAGATCGTTTTAATTTGTAATATTAGCATTTTTATATTAGTTTTTTAGTGTTTTTAATTATACTGGATATGTTGAAGGATTAGCTACATGCAACGTCATTAATTAATTCTTGTTATTACAAACTAGTGATAAGTAGAAATTAAAAACAATCATTTATGACATCTGGAATAATTCATAATTTCTTATATTAATTGTAGGATTGACATCTCTACAATCTCAGGAAGTACTGATTAAAACCTAGATCGGTTCGGCACAAGCAAATAGTATAGTCGCACAGGATTCATTTTAACTAACGACTCACAATTCGCGTTGATCTGACTGCTTTGCGTCTCAATAATTATGGCTCTATAGCAAGAAACGATGTCATGTAGTAGGTGGTTGAATTTGTCTCCACAAACGCTATTATATTATTAACAAAAAAATATATGGTTCCATTTAAAAAATTAGCTTGACCTCGAAATCTCCCCCATTACTCCACCTATACAAAAATTATGGTGAACCTCATGTTTAGGGGAGGCAGCTGCGATGACCTTGGCTTTGACATATGCTGTCAAGGTTACCCCCTGAATGACCCTCGGAAGGTTTACGCTTGTTTTTTATTAAAAAGTTATTAATAAAAATGTATTATTAGTATTACACTAGAATTTGCGTATACGTATACTCAATGTGTCCTTGACGTTCACACAGTTCATAAAGGCCATACTTTTGAGCATCCCTCAAAAAGTCATAGCTACCTCTCGTTTTTGATTAAAAAGTTATTAGTATATAAAAATCACCGGAAACAAAAAACAAGAATATCATATTAAATTCGTTTTACTGACCGAGCTGCTCCCCCAGACTCCCCCTAAAAACTACACTAACTAATATCGACACCCATTTTTAACAAAATATGTTGCTGTCAGTTCAGTTATTCATACCGATGAGTGGCGTGCATACGATGGCTTGCGCAATGAAAATTATATACATCGAACAGTAAACCATTCGGATAATATTGTAGATCCTCGAACTGGTGTTCACACACAAAATATAGAAAGATTGTGGAGGGATATGAGAGCAAATATTCCTCGCTATGGCATTCGTGAATATCATTATACTGTAGTGACTTCGTCGCCATCACGCTTTCGCTAAAATTGGTAATTTATTGTAGAGGCTTGATTGGCGCACATGGCGATCAGCCATACAAGCCCGGATTTTTCACCGCGCGGCGGTCAGAAATGGTCACTAACGTTGACCACGCGATAGAGGCACTTTTCCCGCCAAGTTTTCGCGCCTATTTGTACGAGAAAGGTTTACTCGCTGCCCTTGTCTTGGATCGGGTATACGAGGTGTGGCTATTAAATAACGGGACTGAAGCTGTAAAACATTTTATTTTGATTTCATACATATTTACTTATTATCACCTTCAATACACTACTCCTTTATCCCTACAACGCTCCATGCGAATCTTCCATTGTTCGAAACAGTGCTGGAAGTCTTCTTCTGTCAGTTTCTTCAGGATGCGTGCCGCTTTTTCTTTCACGGCTTCAACGTACTCGATCTTGTTCCTTTTAATGCAGATTTTACCTTAGAAAACAGATAGAAGTCGTACGGCGCAAGATCCGGCGAATAAGGCGGATGGTCTAACACTGGGATGCTGTACTTGATTAGAAACCTCTTGACAAACAATGCGGAATGAGCCGGCGGATTGTCTTGATGGAGAACCCAAGACTTGTCCTTCCACAATTCGGGTCGTTTTTTCCTTATTCTTTCACGAAGTTCAGCAAGAACGTGAAGGTAGTAACGTTGATTAATAGTTTGACCTTCAGAAACCTAGTGAAGGTACACAATCCCATGAATATCGAAAAAAACAATCATCATTGCTTTGCATTTTGTATCTGTCTCCTAAGGTAAAATCTGCATTAAAAGGAACAAGATTTGATTCCGTTAAAGCTGTGAAAGAAAAAGAGGCACGCATCCTGAAGGAGCTGGCAGAAGAAGACTTCCAGTACTCTTTCGAACAATGGAAGATTTGCATGTAGTGTTGTAGGGATAAAGAAGGAGTGTATATTGAAGGTAATAATAAGTACATATGTATGAAATCAAAATAAAATGTTTTACAGCGTCAAGGGGAACAAGAGCATTCCACATTTTAACTTTCGACTTGTATTTCGTTAGTCGCTAGCGCGTTACTCCGGACAATACATTTGAGGGGGCTGGTGGTCCAAATAACAATTCCAACTAGCTACCTCCAATTATAAATGTTTATTCGCTGTGTGAGGGGTAGCCACACGTTAATCTGTGATACTACAATGTCTTTACCAGACTGTGCTATGCAACCACGTCGTTAACCGAGTGAGCTATACGATGCAGTCTCACTGACCGTGATAACCGACTGCTCCCAGTTCCTTCGACTCCTTCTGAATATATACACTACCGGCCATAAGTGTTTGCCCACCTTCAAATTTCGTTACTATTCAAATGACAGGCATTTTATTGTTATGAAAATGTCCGTATCATTAAATCCTAATTATAAGACTAATAAAAACCATCCAAAACGTTCTGTACATATACAATCAGGTACTGTAAATGAGTTTACAGTTTTTTTATGAAAAACGACAATTTTAGAGTTCAGGTAAAGAAACCCATTTTTCTGAAGTTTTTATAACGGTTAGTAGGGAATATGAACGCAGGTAATACGGGCACCTTATTCTTCTCAAATTTCCTACTGCATTTCATTCTGCGTTAAACTTTCGTACAGTAAACAGTTGATTTTCACGTGCTTAAAGAATTTTGCGAAAATTTCAAATAATGTCGGGGAGAAAAGAATTATCGATTGAAACACGCGCTCTAATAGTGTCCCATCATAGTATCGGAAAAAGTAATAGAGAAATAGCAAAGCTATTGAAGTTAAATCGTAAAACCGTGGACTATAATGTTAAAAAATATAAAGATACTGGTAGTTTATCCAACAAAAAGCGATCAGGACGGCCAAAAATAACCACACCAGCAGAAGATCGGGTAATTACAATAATAAGCAAACGTAATAGAAGAAAAACGGCACCGGAAATTACAGCTGAAATAAATACATCTCGCCCTGAACCAGTAAGTTTGACAACAGTTAAAAGGCGCTTACGGAAAGCAGGTTTGCATGGACGAATTGCTATGCGAAAACCCCTTCTACGCAAACAAAATAAAGCAAAACGGTTAGCCTGGGCAAGATCGCATAAAGATTGGGCATTGGAAGACTGGAAAAAAGTGCTCTGAACCGACGAGTCTAAGTTTGAGGTATTCGGCTCCAAACGGAGGAACTTTGTCCGAAGATCGGCAGGAGAACGAGCCCTTGAATCCTGCATATCACCTACGGTAAAACACGGAGGAGGATTGGTTATGGTTTGGGGTTGTTCCGGAAGCACATCAGTGGGCGACTTAGTCAAAATAGATGGCATATTGAATAAAGAACGTTACAGAGGAATTTTGGAGACGAATGCCCTTCCATCTGGAACGCGACTAATCGGAGAAAACTTCGTGTTTCAACAAGACAATGACCCCAAACATACTTTCAAATTATGTCGTAAGTATTTAGAACAATTGGAACGAGAAAAAAGAATTGTACATATGATCTGGCCTCCTCAAAGCCCCGACCTGAATCCCATTGAGCTTTTATGGGAAGAACTAGACCGACAGGTACGAAAAGCAGCCCCAACATCTACACAAACCCTCTGGCAACAATTACAAGATGCATGGTCCACAATAGAACCACTCACACTCACAAAACTATTGAAAAGGATGCCGAAATAATGCGAAGCAATAATAAAAGCTCACGGTGGAAATATCGACGAAAGTAAAATTTAGATATAATTGTGATAATTTTTGTAACAAAATTGAAAAAAAAACTGTTTTTAGAGATATACGTTGCACTATTAAAAAATAAATTTAAAAAAATTGATTTTCGATTAATATTTCCTTTGTTTTTGTGTTATTTTGAGGGTGGGCAAACACTTATGCCCTCATAGCAAAGGGGGAGAAAAAGAGACAGAACAGAAAAACGGAATAACAAAACTGGAAAATACCTAGCTGAGGGAAAGTTCAGTTAAAGATGAAGAAAGTCATAAAAGTCAAGAGGCTCGCCGGGCCCGGCTCGGGGTGGGCCGAGGCCCAGGCAAAACCTTTGAAAGAAGTCAGACGCCTCGTACGGCTCTCGTTGTCAAGTGTTTAACAGGACGACCAGGCTCGCACAAGACCCTGGGAAAATGGAAAAATAGGAAGCTTAAAATTATCCCTGCATTCCATTCCATTCATACCATAGCAAGGGCGTAGTGGCTATACAATGGCCGCTACACATTCATACGCACTTAGTACAACGCGAATATTTAATAAACATTTGTGTTCCCGTGGATAAATCGTGTGTGTGGATTGCGTTTTATTTACCGACCTTCTTCTATACCAATCCCCCACAATACGAATTAATTCGCAGAATTTTTATTTAAAAGAATTTGTAATGTTGACAAACGCATTGAGAGTTTCTTTGAAATAATGAGTTCTGTATATCCATTAGATCATTTAAATACTGATTAAATTTTCATTTTACATACTCATCAACTGTTTCTTATATTATACCACAGTAATCGTTTATTCATTATCGATCTATTGTACGATTTTTATATGCTAATAACTTTTTAATAAAAAACGAGCAACGGCTAAAACCTATTGGATGTTACTCGGGAGACTGACCTTGACAACATATGTCAAGGTCAAGGTCATAAGAGCTGCCTCCCCTAAACGTAAGGTTTACCAAAATCATTTATACCGCATAATTTGTCCCTTTAAATAAAACAACTTTTGTAAGAACACTTTTTTTATATCTTCAATTTCTCGTGAGATATTCCATCATTCGCACTTAAATTGACCTGCTCGAATGTCTTTGCAATTGTTGATGATACAAAAAGACATTTCATAGTCTGATATGAGTAAGTTTTTTCTATGTGGATGCGTAGAGGGCATACGAAAGTCAACTTTGTTTTCTTAAATAGAATTATATGTACATTTTTCAATGCATCGACTGGTGCAATACGTTATTTCGTACATACAAGTTTCTACTGAACCACTTATAGCGAAAAATCATTAGGTTCGAAGTTATTTTAATTTTAATAATATTGTAGGAGACGATGATCGGCGGAGCGAATATTGTTTTGTATGCATGTGTGCGGAAGTCCGGCCGAAACATCGAGAACGTGGAAACGTCTAAAACGTTCGGCCGGGGCAAAATAAAATGAGGGCGTCCGCGATATATGTATGTTCAAAAGTGTAACGAGTGCGTCGCGAATCGTTTAGTATTAGATATTGAAAATTCTAAAACTAAAATACCTTCTAAATTAATAATTTTTCGTCATAAGTGTCTTAGTATTTGTATGCAGGGAACGACGAGTTGTACCAAATGATGCGTTCAAAAATATATGATTTCATTTAGAAAAATAAAAATTAACTTGCGTATACCCTCTGCGCGTCGTGTTAGGGAAAACTTACTAGCATCAAGTTGTATATTCTCTGAAACCACTTAACTTTTGTCCGAAACATTTTTGCCAACAATTTCGAAGATATTTGAGTGGGTTGATTTAAATGATTCATCCTGTATATTAGTCGATTAGATCAAATTATTCTTGCTTAGTGTAATTTTTATCATTATGCGTGAATGGTATTTTTTTTAGCAACAATAACATTCAAGACGATGGTGTTCGCGATATCTTAGAAGGTCTCATTAATCAATTAAACGAAGACAAGGATGGTAAAGGCTTAAATGTATTAATATTATGGAATAATCAACTTACGCAAAAATCGTCTCCCTATTTTTCACGCATTATAGTATGTAACTTTATTTAACTATATGGGATGTTCATTAGAAAAGTTACGCTTCTCTTCGAAAATTTATTGTTAATTATAACTTTTTGAATGGACAGCCTGTATAATTACACACACACACATTTGGCTCATTTGCCAAATCGATTAACTCCACAAAAGGGAAAAGTAAAGACATGGGCAAATATACATTTTTTTTTAAGGTCTCTTTTAATAGTGTTAGGCAGAATTATTAAAACGCTCAAATTTTAAAAAGTTCAAAAAGTGGAGTTAATCGCTTTGGCTTGTAAAAGACTCATATATATTTATGTTACTTATGTATGTAGGCATTGTACAAAACCTTAGAAACATTAAATATTGGAAAGAACACGTTGACCGATGAATTGTTGTTCGCCATAAAGGATGCATTAAAAAAGAACCGTATTTTATTGCAATTGGGGATCCAATCAACTGAACTTACGTGTAACGGAATCGTCACATTGTCCGAGATCATTGAAATAAATCAGGTTTTGCAAGTAATTGTCTTGAAAATATTATGCAATATAAATGTATAATTTTCCATGTATATGTATATATTCTATCATTATTCTAGAGGATAGACTTGCGAAATAACGATATACAAATGACCGGATTAAGGGCTCTGAATTCGGCTATGAAAAAGAACAGAAGCATCATCAAGGTCGATTTGGACGATAAACCGAAAACGATAGTAGTAAGTAAACAATTTCCATTCTATGTTAAAACATATTTATACCTGGACGATCATCCAGGATCAGTTTCTCTTGATCAAGTTCTTACAGATATAGAAAAACTTTAAACGTAAATAACTCGAAAAATATTGAATTTCTGACCGTAATAATAACGTATTTTTGAAAGTCTTCAATTCTAGCACTGTACAAAGTTTTGTTTAAATTGGTCACTTGAAGGTTTCACATTTATCTTACTTATAGGGGTCTGTGAGACCCCCAAAAACATCGGGAATTCGATGGTCGGGGATGAATTGGGAAGAGATCGAGTCGGGTCGGGTCGGGCTCCCAAATACACTGTGGAGCATAACTATAGCACCACTATAATTTTCAAGAGTTTTGTAGTTGTAACTAATGATTTCTAAATGTTAATAATACCACGTGAAAAGGACTAGAAAAAAATTATAATCAATGGAAAAAATACAAAAATAACATTTATTTAACATGAAGTATAATAATGAATGAAATATTGCAATGGTGCATAACTATAGCACCAATGTATTTGGAACGTAATAATAAGGTTAAATGGCTATAAACTGTTAAATTTCTAATTCAGTTTATTAAAGTGAGCAGTTTCAATAATGAGTAGGACCTCCTTTTTTATGTATTAATTCAAAAATACGATTGTTCATACTTGTAATGAGTTTTTTCAAAGTTTCTTCACTAATTTGATTCCACGCTTCAATAACTGCTGTTTTTAGATCCAAAATGTTCGAAAATTGTCGATTATTTCCATAAATATGCCGTACCATGATACCCCATAGGTTTTCAATTGGATTTTGGTTTGGGGAGCATGCAGGCCATTTCAATACATTGACATCAAACGTTTCAAACCATGCTGTGGTTTGTTGGCTTTTATGGATTGGAACATTATCTTGTTGATAAGTCCATGAAATGTGATTGTTTGCATGAATAAAAGGCAATAAATGATTTTCGAGTATTCTAATATACTTCGCGCTATTCATTCGTGTAGTTGGAAAAGCCTAATCTGAGCTTGCCACAGGAGCAGAATGCACCCCACACGATAAGTGTCCCTCCACCGAAATTACGTTTCGAAAAGTATTTTTGTTCTTTACGAAGGTCCCTCCAATATGAATTAAATCCATCTGGATCGTCCAAATTGAATTTTTTTTCGTCAGAGAAAATAACCTAAGTTAAACAAGGAATATTGAATATGAAGCTAAAATCTCGATTTATGAATGTCTAAACTTAACTTACATTATTCCAATTTCTGCTCATGTTTTCTCGTGCGTATTCAAGCCTGGCTATTTTGTGACGTTTCAGAAATGTAGGTGCAGACATCATTTTTTGTCTTATAATGTTTGAATTATGTTTAAGGACACGTTGGACAGTCCAACGAGAAACGTCGAGATCACATTCCTTCACAATTTGTTTACAGCTTTTTAACGTATTGCTCGCAACTTTAGCAATTTGCCTTTCAGTACGAGGGGATAACTTCTTCTTAGATCCCCCTTTCTTATTTTTCCCATACTTAGTAGGATCGCGTAAAAAATTCAGTACAACTTTATGAGATCGCCCGAGTTTACGTGCAATTTCACGTATCCCCATTTTTTGCTCTCTGTACGCTGAAATTGCACGTTGCTCTTGTTCATTAAGGTAGCTGCCACGTGGCATTGTATTAATTAACTAAGAATTCCCAGGTTTACTAAAAAAATTCCAACAGAAACCCTTGAAGTGCGTTAAAAATGAACTGGTTCTATTGTTTTGCACCGATCGCCAAAAGTTTGATTACATCTTGACGTATAAGTAGACAACTTCAACGAATTTCACCTAAAATCCATTATTTACAATGCTTTTTCATACCATATAATTGGTTGTTTCAAATTATTTTCTTACATGTCGGAAATGTTAAAAATGTTAGTGGTGCTATAGTTATGCTCCGCAGTGTATTTCAAGACTCCCGAAAGAATCGGGTTTCCCGAAAATTTTTGAGACTCTTGAAAAGAATTCGTGGTAGACAATATTCTTTCAATTTCTTCTACCAGTTTTCGTGAAGTTATTGGAAACACGGATTCTACGAATCATGTGATCTGATGTAAACAAACGTGTGACTGCGTGCTTAGTGAACGGCTATTTCCCACGGTTGGAAATATTATAACATTGAGCCGGAAAAGATTGCTGACAGAAAATGTCGAAAATGTGGTTATTTTACATGAAGAGGATCTAGCCGAACAAGCATGGTAAAAGTGCCTCCAAACCAAATTGAACGGAGTTAATACCACTCGATAGGTGGTTCGAAGAAACCCCTTTTCACAGAGTTTCAACCCGGTATCTCTACTACAGGGGTAATAACGGGGTGAAAATCATTTTCTGGTTTATCCTCAATATCTCCCATCCTGCTCAATTAAAAATTATGAAAAAAATCATGGTTATTTTATCGATTGATGTACATATTCGAGAATTTTTGGATGCAAATTCGATTTTTAAAAAATTCGAAAATATTTTAACCGGAGATTTTTTGCCGAAGTTATCGAGTGACCACGTTTGTTTTTATACAGTATAAAACTTTTAAAATAATTAGTAATCTCTAATTTTTTCAAATTTTTCGAAGGAGTGGAACATAGTCAAAAAAAATAAAAAATGATTAAAATATGGTGAAAAAGTTTTATATTGCCTTAATTACTTACGTGACCATGTTCATATTTTTATACCTATAGCGTAACATTATGACTATTGATGCGTAATTTTTTCAGATTTTTTGCAATAGTGTTTCTGGAAAAATTGTTAAAGAATTATTAATTCATATTTCCTAATTTTTCATACGGAAAAAGGCCGCACATGCTTTTACAATAGATATAATTAAAATACATTTGGTTACATACTTAGTTAACTGTTGCTATATGTAGTTTCAAATACGTGTATTAGTACGTGTTACGATACATTGATCATTTTGGTAAAGCATCCGCGACATTACCAACATTTTGTCTGAAGCTGAACAACATTATGTATATTAAGTTTTTTAAATATTCCTTAAATATTTTTGCTTTAATTACAATAAATGATCTAAACAAGGTTTACCTGCTACTATTTTTATTGGCAGCATTAATAACTTGATTTGTTCTTCAGTTTTGTAATGTGTCGTGATTGCACTTTGAACTGAACTATATTTTCGTTTTGTTTTAGATAACAAAGATTTAAATTTATAATATAATATAATTTATAGTTATAAAAGTATTATGTTTATAATATCGTATTAGTTAGTCTCATCCCCATCTTTCTGTTTATCAGTACATAATGTTGGCAATGTCGCGGATGCTTTATCAAAACGATCAACGTATCGCGCCGCGCCGTGGCGGTTCTAATCAACAGGAGTCCGGTACTACACGTATTTGAAAACTACATATAGCGACCAGTTAACTAAGTATGTAACCAAATATATTTTAATTATATCTATTGTAAAAGCATGTGCGGCCTTTTTCCGTATGAAAAATTAGGAAATATGAATTAATAATTCTTTAACAATTTTTTCAAAAAATCTGAAAAAATGACGCATCAATAGTCATAATGTTACGCTATAGCTATAAAAATATGAACATGGTCACGTAAATAATTGAGGCAATATAAAACTTTTTCACCATATTTTAATCATTTTTTATTTTTTTGACTACGTTCCACCCCTTCGAACAATTTGGAAAAATTAGAGATTACTATATATTTTTAGAGCTTTATACTGTATAAAAACAAACGTGGTCACTCGATAACTTCGGCAAAAAATCGCCGGTTAAAATATTTTCGAATTCTTTAAAAATCGAATTTGCATCCAAAAATTCTCGAATATGTACACCAATCGATAAAATAACCATGATTTTTTTCATAATTTTTAATTGAGCAGGACGGGAGATATTAAGGATAAACCAGAAAATGATTTTCACCCCGTTATTACCCCTGTAGTAGAGATACCGGGTTGAAACTCTGTGAAAAGGGGTTTCTTCGAACCACCTATCGAGTGGTATTAACTCCGTTCAATTTGGTTTGAAGGCACTTTTACCATGCTTATTCGGCTAGACCCTTTACAATAAATAATTATACTTATTACTTATTTGTGCACTATTCCTATTCTACGAATCGTATAATTCTATAATTGTAAATTGAATAAGTAAAAAGTAAAATTACATAATTTTCCGCAAACACCTAGAATAAACAATTCAAAACCATGAACATATTATTATTATTATTCATTAACATACGGACAAGAAGCTCTTATATACATTAAAATGAATTTAAATGATTAATGGTTTCTCGGAATTTTTTGGTAATCCCGATTCTTTCGGGAATCTCGATTATTTCGAGAATCCCGACTCTTTCGAGAATCCTGACTCACTCGAGAATCTCGACTTTTTTCGGGAATCCCGAAAATTCAAAAATCTCGAAATTGTCGGGTACCCGTCCCGATCCCGAAAAAATTTCGTGTTCCTGATCCGACCCGATATTTCGAGGTCTCGCACACCCCTACTTACCAGCCATAACTCAATTTCGACATTCACTATTTTGTTCGTCGATATTTTGAAAACTAATGAGCCAACTATGAACTTTTATGCAAATGTATATTTTTATAGGAAAAAGATAAAATTATAGGACTTGGGTAAACATTTGTTTTATCGTTAGATTACAAAAATATAATTTTTTGTGGCAGTTCTCCCGAATGGAACCCGCAGCCAATCGACATAACGTTTGGAAGGATTAGAGGGGAGGCGGAATGCATATCAAATATAAAATTTTAGCTTTGGAAGTTTAATAGTTTCCGGGATACTAGGTTAGGGTTTTGATATTTTTCATTTTGTTTCATTTCGCCGAGTGGAGGGCCGGTAGCAATCCGAAGCGAATGTGACACTATACTAGGTGTGGCGATTAATAATTCTTAATTCTTTTTAAAGATGACTCTAGAAACAAGGGTTTATGATTACTAGGATTCACCAATGATCACGAACTTTTTAACTTTAACAAG